GATGGTTAAGACCAAGGTAAAGCAGGACCTATGCAACAAGAGTTGTAGCTTTTGGGTCTGATAAGGTCAGTCAAATACCCTCAGGATTTATCCTGAGATCCTATAAATTTTTTAAAAATTTATTTAAAAATATATAAAGCCAAAAATGTACATATTTAAAATATATTTAAAAATGCACAAAAATTAAAAGTACACATTAGTACCAGACAGTGTTGTGATACATTGAGCAATGTAAGGGACACATCGTACAGCTTTCATTTCCCTTCGATATTTACCCAGGAGATTTATTATTTCATTCGTTTTTCTCCATGTCCTCACCAGCACTTTTTGATAATAGCTGTTTTTACTGAGCTGAAGAGATATCTTCATGGCTTTAATTTTCATTGCCCAGACGATCACTGATGTTGGACATTTTCTCACGTTAGCCATGTGTGTTAGGCAGCCTCTGCCAGCATGACAGAGTACTTAATAGAAGCAGCTCATGAGGGGTGTTTTTGGCTCCATTTCAGTGCATAGTTGCTTGGCCTTGTTGCTTTGGTCCTGTGATGTCACACTTTGTCAGTCATGAATTTGTGGAAGAAGAGCATTTTCATGGTATCTCAGAAGCAAAGAGAAACTGTGGGGATCAGGTTCTAGTATCGCTTCGAGGGCACACCTTTGTTGACCTAAGTTTCCTCCCACTAGGTCACATTTCTTAAAGCTTTCTCCACATCCCAGTCGCTCCACTGCCTACAAAGCCTCAACCCATTAGCTGTTGCTTGAGACATTCAGGATCCAAACTGGAGCTTTCTTTGTGTGTCTTTTTTCTTTTGCTGGTACTAGGCATTGAGTCCAGGGGCTTGTGCATGTACGCAAGTGCTCTATCAGGTGTTGAGCACCGGCCCCTGTTGCCCATTTTTTTTTTTTTTTTTTTTTTTTTTTAACATTTATTTGTGTGTGTGTGTGGCCAGCTCAGCCCACCAGGGGGCGGGGGCTGGCTGGCATGTGGTGCTGGGGGATCGAACCGTGGTCCCTGTGCTTTGCCAAGCTTGTTCCAAGTAGGTGCTTTAGACCACTGAGCCATCTCGCCAGCCCTGTTGCCCATTTTTTAATATTTTTTTTTTGCTAGAGTTTTTAGAGTCAACCTCATATTGTAATTATTAACTCCTTGTCAGATAGTGCATAAAGTATGTAAATATATTCTCCTATTCTGTAGGATATTTCTTCACTGTGTTGGTTACGGAGTTTCCTTTGCTGTGCAGATTTTTTGTTTGTTATAATCACTTTTGCTTATTTTTTGCTTTTCTTTCCTGTGCTTTTGGGATTTTTCCCAGAAAACTGTTGCCCACTCCAGTGTTCTGAAATGTTTATCTTGTGTTTTCCTTTACTACTATTTTCATAATTTTGATCCTGTTTTAAGGGATAAAAACTGTTGTATAAATTTAATATATGGGTTATTTCTTTTCTGTATCGGTCTGCAGTGCTGTTGATAATCAGGTATATGTGGCCACGGCCTCTCCTGCCCGGGATGACAAAGCATCCTACATTGCCTGGGGACACAGCACCATTGTGAATCCTTGGTAAGTATGTGTGAGGGTGGGCTCAGTGGAGCTGATACATGGGCCCCTTCCATCTCCTATTCTCTCTGCCCAAACAACCTGACAGACATTAAGAAAAGCTTCTACTTGAAAACCATGTAAGAGGCTGGGGAGATGGCTCAGTGGAATAAGTGCTTCCCTGACCAGTGCAAGGGCCTGAGTTCAATTCCTGGTTCTGCAAAAAAAAAACAACAAAAAAAAAAAAAAAAAAAAGAAAACCATGTGAGAAGGAAATTGTCCTCATTACCTGAGTGCTCAGCACTCTTTTGCTTGCCCAGGTGACCTTCATCTCACGCGTACTTGGATCTCTCAGGTCAATCAAGGCAAGAGTGATGGATGGGTGGTTTAGTAAGAGAAGCTCCTGAACTCTTGGCTTTTGGTTAAAATTTAGCCTATTTCTAAATAGGCTAAATAGGACAGGAATAAGTTACAGGGTGAGAACTTTGTTCCCAGCATAATGATGAGAGGATAAGGGAGGATGGGTTCACCGAGGGAAATGGATTATGTCCCTTGGGCACAGCATTTTATTACTCAGTGGAGGCTGTCTGTGTAGAGGTGCATACAGGCAGCTGTTAATGTGCCTACCTTTCAGGCTGTGGCTGGGATTTAGTGCACTACATAGTATCTCAACTTGAACTGAGGGTCTGAGCCTTATGAGGCTTAGTTTGTAGATGATAGAATTGGAGTTCCTAGAGGTAAAGTAGCTGGAATATGTGATTGGGTTGTGACTTTGAACTTCAGAACTTTAATTCATCCATACTAATCCTGTTTAGGAATGAAATACATGCATACAGAGTGATATGTATTTCTAGAATCCCAGGGTATATAGACTAATAACAGGATGAGAAAGGTTAAGCCACACTGTGGGGTCCCAAAAGGTTCACTCTTCTGACATTGTGGCCCTCACAGCTCCAAGTGTGGTGGGGAGGCCTTGCTTGGTGAGCGATCCTCAGCAGTTCTTTTTCACGTGAGCATGGAGGACTGAGCTGGCTTGAACGTTTTTGTGAATCTACATCCAGTTCTTTGGTCCAGTTGCTAGTTGCAGCAGGCTTTTTGGCTCTGGTTCCTGGGTAGCCGCGCTCCACAGCTAGTTCTCCTGATGGACTCAAGCGTGCTGCTTCTGACATGATGTAACTGTATGTGCTCAGTGTTCATTTCTTCCTCTGCAGGATTTGGGAGCTCTCCGGTGTGTTGTGGGTATCTGGGGCTCTGCACAGAGAGGTCTCTGAATTGCCAGATGGACCAGAATTAGAAAAGAACAAAAAAGGATTTAGTTCAATGGCATTAATAGTGGCATTTGTAGTTCATCTGTGCCAGAAATGTTTGTAACGATCTCATAAAGGAAGCCAAATCTTATATCATGATTTATTTATCTATTTATTTATTTTTGTACTGGGATCAAATTCAGGACCTTGCACTTGTTTTATATATGTTATTACCATTCATTTTCATTTGCTGTGTTTTGATCCTCTGCTCTGGGCCAAGAGACTGGAAACAGTTTCCCAGAGCAGCTTTCCCCTGGAATGATTTAGGAGTGTTGTTTCTGCCAGCCTGTGGATCCCCTGTGACTTCTACCCATATCCTATAGATAGGAATCTTTAACTCAGATATGAAACTAAACTCATTAGCATAGAGATCTAAGGATCCTAGGTACAAAGAGATCTTAGCAGATCTGGGCCTGGCTACCTGCAGGTCAGGTAGCAGCCTGAGCAGATATGAAGAGCAGAATGAGGCAGCCCTCTGAAAGGGCTAACTGAAGTATAGTCAGGAGGAAATAGGAGCTGTAGGCTGTATTGAGTAGTAAGCTGTAGGCTCTATTCCCAATTGTCTGTAACCATGGAATAGCTACCATTGGCAAGCAGTTTGCAGTTTATAAAATGTACTCCATAGTTATCTCAGTAAGCCACAGAACTCTTACTTCCGCTTGATAGAATAGGAAATGAACATTCATTGTAACTTGCCACAAAGTTACATAGCTACTTAAACAGCAGGATAGAAATTGATATACTTACGTTCTTAATATTTTTTCTTGCCTCTTCTTTTTTTTTTTTTTGTATGTATTGGGTACAGGGTCAGCAGGGTCTACGGGGTCTCACTATGTAGATCAGACATGTAGTGACTCTCCTTTTTCAGCTTCCCAAGAGCTGGGATTACAGGCGCACACCACCACGCCCAGTCTTGATGGCCATCTCAGCATGCCCCAGGGACGGGGCTGTCATGACAGGCCAGAATGGAATCCCGGCCGCTGTGCTGTATCTAAGCAGGTGCTTAGTCCGCTGAACTATCTGGCCGACCCCATTTTTGTTTGTTTGTTTTTGATATTCAAACTATCTTTAGTGTTGTAAGACATGGTAAACATAAAACTACACTTATTCAGTAGTGTACACTCAACAAAAAACACAAAAGTATTAATACTCTATCAGCTACTTAAGATATGCAGGTAACAGGAATGAACACTGAGGTACTAGGGAAACTGATGACACAGTTAATGAAATTCATTTGGCATTCTTTTGATTAAACTCAGTACAAAAAAAAAGTGCTTTTGTGCTGCCATGACACAAAAATAGGCTTGCCAAGGCAGGGGAAGTATATGAACGCTGAGTGCCTCTCAGAACTGCAATCAAGTGCAACAATAATACTGAAAAAGTTACCATCTGACTCATGCCTAATACTTTCAAGGCTTTCGGTTAGCTTATCCTCTGCAGTATTCTAAGCTATTCACATTGACAATCACATGCATTTTAGTGCTTGCAGCAAGCGAGGCGTGTAACCAGCAGTTTTGGCTAAAGATGGGAAGGCATCCCTCGGGTTGTACATAAAAGTAGCCATGTTAAACAGTCTAATGGCAGTCACTGACAAGCTGCTTAAATGAATGGTATCTCCTCCATTCGTTATGTTAGAAGAGTCCAGTGGAAAGGAAAAAAAAATCTAATACTTTGGACTGAGCTGGAAAAATGAAAGCCTCTTAAGATCCAGATGGCACCCTATTGTCATTTTTATAAGGGTTTCCCTTCCAGTGAAACTACTACACTGCCTTCAAGCTCTCCTTAAGTGTTGAATGGTCCTTAATATCATTCAAGCCATTTACCTGCCACTCATGTTTAATACCTGTAAATTTCTTTTTACTGGCATCGTTAGATAAATCATCCTGCTTTTTTTTTTTTTTTTTTTCCATCTTGCTTTTTAATGGTGCACTTTCAGGAGCCCAAAATCTGCTTTGCTTCCTCTACAATTATTTGTCTTTTGTCATCACTTAAACAGAAGAGAACAGCTTTCTTTTGCTTTTTAATTTCCTTTTGGGTAGAAGATTTCCTTACTTTCATATATCATTAAACAATTTTATTTGTTTAAATTTTAGTAAGGGTCTACAGGGCCTATAGGGTCTCACTACGTAGATCGGACTCCTAGTGATCTGCCTGTGTTCAATCTCCCAAGCACTGGGATACACAGGATTACAGGTGCACACCACTACGCCCAGTCCCAATTCCCACCTCAGTGTGCCCTGGGAGGTGGGGGGCGGGCAGGGCCGGCACAGCAGGCCCAGGGATTGAACTCCTGTCCCCTGTGTCTACCTAAGCAGGTGCTTTAATCCACTGAGCTATTTGGCTGGCCCTCATTAAAAACTTTGATGACTTCATCATTTACTAACTCTAGATGCCATAGTGCTAGTGCTGTGACTGTGGCGGTGGCTCGGGCTCAGGCTTGGTGACACTGGCAGGAGAGGAGGGGTGGGGAATGGCGAGTGTAGAGCATGCCAGGAGCTGCAGCCCCGGGGGCCAGTCCAGCGAGCCCTCCCCTCTTCATTTTGTGCTACTAACTGAACCCAAGGCCTCACAAATGCTAGGCAAGCACTCACTGAGCTACATCCCACAAACCTCCAGCCCCTTTTATTTGAGACAGGGTCCTGCAGTGTTGTCCAGAATAGCCTTGAACTTGTAATCCTTTTGCCTCCGCCTTTGGCATCACTACAATTATGGGAATGCACTACCATACCCTGTTAACTTTTTGTTTCAGATCTCGAGATCATTTTGTTTTGTTTATGAGATGCTCAGAGGAAATGAGATGCTCAGAGGAAAACGAAGAGATTTTGAGTATTACCAGACATCAGTGAGTCTATTCATTTTCCTCTGCATCTGTTTTAGGGGTGAAGTCATAGCCAAAGCTGGCACTGAAGAAATGGTCCTGTATTCAGATATAGGTAAGATTCCATAGCTGTGAAGCAGTGGTAACTTGGGAAGGCTCCTTTATTCCATTCCTTATTTATCTTGAGGATACTGTAGGTGTAGCTCAGCTTGCATTTTCTTGGTTTGGTTTTTAAATGTTCTCAGGACCTGTGCCAGGTCATTTGTGTGTTTAGATAAGGCTGATGTTGTTGCGTGACTTGCTGAAATTCTGGTTATCTTCAGTTTGGGGGAGTGCCTTTCTTGGCTAGTAAGAAGTTGCAAATTACTCATCATCCACTTTCTTATATTTGCAGATCTGAAGAAGCTGGCTGAAATACGTCAGCAAATCCCAATTTTAAGACAAAAGCGACCAGACCTCTATGCAGTGGAACCAAAAAAGCCCTAAGGATTATATTTCCAACATGTCATGAAACAGGAAGATATGGAGTATGATAAACTCCCTATTGAATCCTTTTTCTTGGGGGTGGATGTGTGGCTTCCCCCAGTTCTCACATCCTGCTGAGCACATGCTTTGTGAGTTATACCCCTATTTCCTATTGAATTTATACTACTTTCTTCTCTTCCAATTTTAACTTTTTTTTTTTTTTTTTTTTTTTGGAGATAGGGTCTGGCTAGGTAATCCTAGCCTTGGACTCACAGCAAGTTTCTGCCTCAGCCTCGTGAATGCTGTGATTATAGGTGTGCATCACCATGCTGGGCTAAGTTTCTGCTTCATCCTACCCAGGAGGCTGAGGAGATGGCTCGGTGCTTAAGAGCCTGCCTGGCAAGCACAAGGTCCTGAGTTCAATCCCTGGTAGGAAAAATAAATAAATAAAATAAAGAAGTGTACTTTCGGCCAGTGAGATAGCTCAGCAGCACAAGTGCCTCCCTGGCCAGCATAAGGTCCAGAGTTTGAGCCCCAGTACCAAAATAAAACCGACAAACAACTGAGCTACTCAGAGAACTATTGCGATGACAGAACTTCAGCATGCTGTCATTTGCATACCATATTAAATAGAAAGGATATAGGCCAGGGTCAAAGAGCAGAAAAAGTGTCTGCCATACTTAAGTCACTTCAGAGCAGTTGTTAGAAGTAGCACATCATGGTGTTCTGGTGGCTGACTGACCTAATACAAATACGTTTATGTAATGACCCTGTACTCCCATTTGCTGGAGTTGGAACCCATTAGCTGCTTAACTTGGTCTGGTGTTTGTCTTCCAAGAAGTGACTAAGTTAAGTGTTTTGGTCTTTTTAGCTGTGGGAAGCCTGGTAATCTTTTTTTTTTTTTTTTTTTTTGCCAGAGGAAGTGGCAGCCTCTCCCCCTTCTAGCACCTCTTAACCTCTTCAGATTCAAGGAGGAGCTAGTGATTCAAACCCAGACCCTCCTGGCCTTAAAAGACTGGGTCAGCAGTGATCTTGCACAGGAGAATGGCAGTGGCAGTACTAGTGAAAGCATCTCAGAATGAACTGGCAAAAGATGTTTTCTGGTGGGTTGTGTCTAAAAGTCTCAGGTTTTTGTGCTTTTTTAAACACTTTCTCACCCTACAAAGAACTGCTGAGCCTGATGTTTTTTGAGCTTTTTGGTCTTTTCAAATTTTTTTTTGCATAAATAAAATTAAGGACTTGAATGTGTTTTCGTTTATGTATGTTATAAGTGCAACTTTTTTTTTTTTTTTTTTTTTTTTTTTTTATTTATTTGAGAGAGAGAGAGAGAGAGAGAGAGAGAGAGAGAGAGTGGTGTGTGTGCTTTTTTTTTTTGCGGAACTGGGGCTTGAACTCAGACCCTTGCACTTACCAGGCAAGCACTTATTCTACTGAGCCATCTCCCTGGCCCCTTATGTATGCTGAGTTAGTAATGGCCAGCTGAGAAAAAAAAAAAAAAATCCAAATTTTGTAGTAATATGTACCAATTTTCAGTGTTGAATGACCTCTAAGAGTGGGGAACAGATGTGTGGTCAGCTCTGGTGACCTGGTGCACTGGTAGATCTGGCATACCACTGGTTAAACAGAATAGGTATATACCTTACTGACAAATTTTTTTTAGAAAGATACATATGAATACATTCTGTTAATACCACATAGAATGAAGACATCATATGTCATTTAACTTCTGGAAAATAGCACTGTGCCCTCAGAACAAGAATGAAAAAGAAATGACTTTTTAAAAAGTAATGTGTAGGGCTGGCCTGATAGCTCAGCAGACTAAAGTGTCTGCTTAGGCAGAGTGCAGTGGCCAGGGCTCCATCCCCAGCATGCTGACGGCCCTGCCTCTGGGGCATGCTGAGATGGCTATTGAGACTGGGCATGGTGGCATGCACCTGTAATCCCAGTGCTTGGGAGGCTGAAAAACAGGAGAATCACTACGAGTCTGATCTACATAGTGATACCCGGTAGATATAGGAAAAAAGAAAAAGAAGATAAAAAGTAATGTGTAGTTTGATACAGTTTGACATGTATATTCATAAAACAACTCCAAGATAGAACATATCTATTATTTCCCAAATTTTCTTGGTCATCATCCTTCTGCCTATTCCTCTTCCTAGGCAGTCACTAGTAGTACCACTGTACATTATATTTTCTATAATTATGTAAAAATAGAGCCAGGGATGTAGCTCAGCCTGGCAAGTGCAAGGCCCTGAGCTCGATTCCTGGTACCAGGAAAAAATAGGAATCTTTCTATATATACTTTTTGGTATATCTTCTTTGGCTACTTATTTGGCGATTTACCTGTGGGAATATTGGCAACTTAACCTTTTTTTTCTTGCTGAGCAGGATTCCATTGTATGAAAAAAAACCCCAAAACTTGTGTATATATTCAACTGGGGATGGAGATTTAGATTATTTCTGGGTTTTGGCCATTACAAATAAAGAAGCTGGAAATATTCTTACAAGTTTGTTCATTTCTCTGTGGTGGGTTCATACACAGATGTCACTACCAGACGTTTCCAGTGATTTTGCTATTTTATGTGGCAGATGGTAGGGGCTATGAGTCCCAGTTGTTTCACATCACTGCCAACATAGAGAGTGGCTGGGTGCATGTTTTCAATTTAGGCATTTAACAAGCATGTTATATTACTTCATTATGGTTTTAATTTGTACTTCCTTAAAGACTAATCATACTGAACATCATTTTATTTGCTGCTTTATCTTTCTTGGTATAGTGATATATCTTTGACTCACATTTTTTAATTTTTTTTTTTTTTTTGTGCAGGGTCTCACTACGTAGCTCAGATTCATAGTGGTCCTCCTGATTTCTGCCTCCCTAGTGCTGGGATTACAGGCATACATCACAATGCGTGGACTCTGGCCCACATTTTTAATAATTATTTATTCTCTTGAGTAATAAGCGTTCCTTATATTCTTTATTTTTTCCTTATATTTTTTAGATAAAAGTTCTTTATCACGGGGCTGGGGAGATGGCTCAGTAGAGTAAGCGCTTCCCTGGCAAGTGCAAGGGTCTGAGTTCAATCCCCGGTTTCACCAAAAAAAAAAAAAAAAAAAAAAAAAAAACAAACAAAAAACAACCACCAAAAAAGTTCTTTATCAGGTAGTATTTTTTTTTTTGCAAACATATTCATCCAGTCTGAGATAAAAGCTGTTTCAGTTTGGTTTTGGTGCTGGACATTGAGCCCGGGGTCTCATGCATGTGCAGCCTGTGCCCTGCCACTTAGCTACACCATCCAGAGCACTTAGTATTTTGTGGTGATGGCGATTGAATGAAGGACTTCATATGTGCTAGCTAAAAGTTCTTAGTATCCCTTTTTCATTTTTCAAAGGTACTTTTTTTTTTTCTCTTTCTTTGCACTACCAGGGATCAAACTTGAGACATTGTACTTGCCAGGGAGGCACTTATATCACTGAGTTATATCTCCAGTCCCTCAAAGGTAACTTTCTAAAACAGCAAAACTTTCTACTTTCAAAGAGTCCAGTTTATTCCTTTTTTTTTTTAAAAGAAAAGTTCATACTTTAAGAGTTTTATAGTTTTAGCTCTTTCATTTAGGTTTATGATCCATTTACAACTAGCTTTTTGCATAACTTTGTATAAGGTGAAAAGCAAGATGATTACCTTGCATATGGCTGTCCAGTTCTAGCAGTTTATTGCAAAGTATATCCTATCCCCCTTATGTTACCCTGACACTAAAAAATGAATTGGCCATAAATATCTCAGTCTATTTCTAGACTCTATTCTGGTTGACTCCCTGCGCACTGCATTGCTCAGTAGTACCTTACTGTGTTTATTGTAACTTTGTAAGTTTCTTGGAGTCACACAATGTCATCCCTCTAGCTTCCTTTCAAAGTGGTTTTGACCAAGGCCTTTGTATTTCCGTACAAATTTCATAGCGCCGGCCAGATAGCTCAGTGGACTAAAGCGCCTGCTTAGGCAGGAGCAGGGACCAGAGTTTGATCTCTGGTGTGCTATGCCAGCTCCACAGAGATTGGGCATGCTGAGACAGAGATTGAGACTGGGTGTGGTGGCACATGGCTATAATCCTAGCACATGGGAGGCTGAAAACAGGAGGATCACTACAAGTACGATCTGTGCAGTGAGACCCTGTATGAAATGCGTAAAATTCAGAATCAGGTTATAAATCTGTATGAGAACACATGCAGTACGGCTTCCTTGGTGCTTCGGGACTGTGCAGTGTCTATAGAGGAGTGTGGCAGAACACTGACTTACTGTGAATCACTGATCCAGGAGTGAGACACTTAAGCTGTTTAGGTCTTCTAAAATTAGCTCAGCAGTGTTTGGTACAAAGGTAAGTAAATCTTGTGTGCTATGATAGTTGTAAACAAAATTTCTAGTGTAATTTACTCCTGTACATTGAACTTGCATTCTACAGCTTTCCTAAGCTCACAATACTTAAGCAGTTTTGTTTTTTCTGTTTGGTAGATTCAATGTGATTTAAAAAAAAAATACACAGGTAATTGTGCCTACAGATAGTTTATAAAATAAATAAACTTCCTTTCCCAGCTGTTTTCCTTTTATTTTTTTCCCTGACTTTATTATGTTGGCTAGAATCCCCACTACAATGCTGAATAGAAGTAATGAGTAAATGTATGTGCTAGTCCTGATCACAGAACAGAAAGCATTCTGTGATTTACTGTTTAGTCTTTCATAGGGGCTATCGGGTTAGGGAAGTTTCCTTCTATTGCTAGGCTGTTGAGAATTTTTATGTAGAACAGATAACTAAATATTTACAGATTATTTTTCTGCCTTTATTGAGATGTTTTTTGACATTTGCTTTGATAAACCTATGACAAGTGTAAAAATTGTCAAAAGTACATTTAATACGTCACTGAATATCACAGCTTAACAACACAGTACACTGTATTGGTTGCTTACCTTGTGGTCATATATCTGACTTGAAGCTGTGGCTCCTAGAATCACAAGAGTACTGTACCACACACCATTAGTGCACAAACAGACCAAAATTCAGAATCTAAAATACAGTTTCTACTGAGTATATATTGGTTTTATACCATCATAATGTAAAAAACCAGTAGCTCCAAAATAATAGCAAGACTCAACAAATGAGCCAGGCATGGTGATACGGTCTGTACTACCAGCACTCTGGGACCTGATACAGCAGGATTCCAAGTTTGAGTTCAGCCTGGGCCACCTAGCAACTTAGTGAGACCTAGTCTCAAAAAATAAAAAGGAGTAAAAAAGCCCTGGTTCCAATCCCGATGATCCCAGCCCCTAATCAACAAACAGACTGTAGCAATTTAGACAATCTACAGCAAAGGAAACAGTAGGGTGAAGAGAAGCCCACAGAATGATGGGAGAATATCTTTGCCAGTTACTCGACAGGATTTACATCCAGACTATGAAATAATAGAATAGAAACTAGTAATTCAGTCAAGAAGGGCAAATACCAAATGTCAATAATTACATGAATAAAAAAAATAATTACATGAAAACATCTACACATTTTTAGCTATCAGGGAAATGCAAGTAAAAAACTACATTGGGAGTCCATCTCACCCCAGTCAGAACAGCTATCAAAAATACAAAAACAATAAAAGCTGATAAGGATGGAGGAAAAAAAGATTCCTTGTACCACTGGTGGCAATGCTGTAGAAAGCAGTCTAGTAGATCCTCGAAGACAAAACTACTAAGATCACTGTATGATCCAGCTATACAGCTGCTCAGTATATGGTTGAAGAAATTAGGTCAGCATACTGTAGAGACACTTGCATAGCCAACTTTCCTGAGGTACAGTTCACAAGAACCAAGTTAAAGAATCAACTTCTGTCTGTGGAAGAATGGGTCAAGTAAACATGTATGTACACAGTACATTAGCCATGAAGAAATGAAGTGGCATTTGCAGGAAAACAGATGGAACTGAAGATCAACATGTAAACCAAAATAAGCCCAATTCAGAAAGATAAGTATTACAAATTTTCTTTTGCATAGTATAATCTAGGAAAAAAAAAAACAGGATGGAAATTATTGAAGGGGAGGAATGGATAGATATGAGCAAAATATGTTATATGCATATATGAAGATGCCACAATGAAACCTTTTACTTTGTATAATTGGTATGCACTAAATTTTAAATTGGGGCCCATTGATTTCAAATCAACCTTCCATTCCTCACTAGATAAAATACACTGTTAAGAGAGCCAGGCTTCTTGGTGTCCACCCATAATCCCAGCCCTCAGGAGGCTGAGGCAGGTTCACTGCAAGTTCAAGGCAAGCCTGAATTACAGAACTGAGACCCTGTCTCAAGCACTCATGCATTGTTGGATTTGGTTTTATAACACTGACAAGAAAAAAATCTTTTGGTACTGGGAATTAAACTCAGGATCTCATGCTTGCCAGGCAAGCACTCTACCACTGGGCTAAATCCCCAGCCCTTGAGAACAAATTTTTGTGTTCATGTTTATAAAGGATTGGTCTGCACTTTCTGACTAGTTTGATCTACTGGCCTTTTGAAATGATGTGGGCCATGTTTATTCTTCAGTAATCTAAAAAATACAGAGCCAGGGAGATAGCTCAGTGGTCTAAGCACCTGCCTGGCAAGCACAGGAACCCGGGTTTGAGCCCCAATACATGCCCTGCTGGCCCGGGGTTCCAGGCATGCAGTGCTGGCCACTGCCTGGCGCTGGGGAGGCCAAGACAGGAGGATCACTATGAATCTGAGCTGCATAGCAAGACCCTGTGCCAAATAAATAACTTTTTTAAGTGTGTTGTAAATTGTATCTCATCACTGCTAACCAGCCTGGCTAAAGTTTTACCAGTATGACTAATTTTTTTCATGAAACCAAGTTCTTGTTCCATTGATTTTAAACATTTTCCTTTTCTTACAGATCTCATTTCTTTTACTCGCACATTTATTTTGGGCTCTATTGACTAAGTTTATAAAGTGAATACCAAGGGACTGTGGGTGTAGTTCAGTGGTAGAACATTTAACTAGCACAGCTCTGGGACTCTGAGGTAATTGGAGAACTTTTCTCATTTTTAACACAGCTATTTAGTAATGTTAATCTTGCTGGTTACTGCTTTAGTTGTGTACTCAGCCTTTGTTTTCCTTTTCAGTTCAAAATGTTGATTTCCTGTTTTATTTAATATTTGATCCAAGGGATATAGTGTTCCTAAATATTTGGAGATTTTCCAAATTTTTGACTCCTTTGTGTATATATATATATTTTTTACAATAACATGGCATGTGTGTGTATATATATATATTTTTTTTTTCTTTTATTTATTTATTTTCCCCGGAACCAAGGATTGAACTCAGGCCCTTGCACTTGTCAGGGAAGCGCTTATTCCACTGAGCAATCTCCCCAGCCCTTTTTTTTTTTCTTTTTTTTTTTTAAGAGATACAGTCTCACTATGCAGTTCAGGCTGGTCTTGAACTGTTACCCAAGTTAGATATTGTAATCTTTTAAGCTGGTGAAAGATAAAGCTGGAGATAAATAGAAGTTAAGAAGATGTAGACTGTTCTTATTGTACTGACTGGGTGTCAGTACGCCATGATTTTTTTGTGCATCTTGGAACAGAAACATTGATGGTTTTGAGATAATCATTGAGGATATCTGTGTAAGAAAGACAGACACTTTCTTCTCTTGATCAGTGATGGTGAACCTTTTAGACATTAAGTATCAAGCTGCAATCCCAAATCCATTCATTTATCACAAAGTGTCAACAGGACAAATAAACCAAGACACTGAGGTTTTAGTTTAGGAACAAAACCCACACACATTAACATCTTTTGTCTTCAAAGATAAACCACTACTGCTCTAGTACCTTCCCACATCTTCTAGGAAACACTTGCACAGGCATATTTACAAGCAAAAGAGCTGGAGAAGTCAGGTACACTGGCCTGTGCCTGTAATCCCAACACCTGGGATTGTTGAAACAAGAAGATTCCAAGTTTGAGCCGAGGCCAAGCAATTAAGTGATTTCACAAGACCCTGTCTGAAAACTAAAAAGGGCCAGGAATGTAGCTCCATGTGAAGGGCCTGGTTTCAATTCTCAGTACCAAAAATAAAAGTCATCTTTTTTGGGTCAGGTACCAGTTATTTTTGTCCTAGCATTCAGCAGGAAGACCATCTATAAAAGATCTCAAATGGTCTGAGAGTAATAGATCTAAAATACCAAGAACAAAAAATAAATAAAATACCACGAACAATTTGTGTACTTTCTCCTTTAAATCATTATTTTCATGCTTATCTAAGTTTTAAAACACTTGAATACGGGACCTTCAAAGATACTGATGCCCCTTGTTAAGATAACTGGCAGAGGGATATTAACTTTTATTTCATACATGAAAGGTAGCTTGTTGGCCTGATGATTATACATGATCAGATTTTAAATCACAAATATCCTGACTCTTGACTAAAACTATTATGAACTTACTGCCTAAATGAGACAGACAGACACACACACACACACACATACACAGTGACAGAGACAGGCTCTTGCTTATGAGTTTTAACTATGCAGCCCATGCTGGCCTCAAACTTACAGCTACCTCAGCCTCCCAAGTATAGGCAAGTACCACCATTCCCAGCAAAACTTCTAACTTCTTTAGACTATAAACTTCCTTATATGAAGTGGCCAAAGGAGTACTAACTTTTGTGTCTAGTATAAGTCCACTTCCTAGTTCTTTTTTGGAAGACCATTATTCATCTAATAGCAGTGTGTTAAAGACTGAAAATATACTAAAATTGTCATTTATGGCAGAGAACTGGGGGTAGAATTGCTATTCATCCCTTTTGCCAGCCACTCCTAAGGTATTTCCTTGTATAACGGCTAAGTGAGCCGTTATTTCCTTATAAATACAAAGAGCAGAGCCAAGCATGGTGGTGTGTATTTGTAACTCTAGCACTTGGGAGGCTAAGGCAGGATTGCTGAAATTTGGGGCCTGCTAGTTATGTGGTGAGTTCAAGGCCCAACTGGCTTACATAGGTGAGAACCATGACTCAATAACAAAAAATATAAAAACCCTTTTGCTGGTCATGATGGTGCATGCCTGTAATTCAGCACTGGGAAGGATGAGGTAGGACTGTTATATTTAAGGCCAGCCTGAATTACACAGTGATATTTTGTTTCAAAATACAAAGCAAACAAACCCATTTACTGGCAAAGACATTTTTGATTTATTGTCCAAGCTGGGCCTGAATTTGTGATTATTTCTGCATTAGCCTCCAGAGTAGATGAGATTATAGGTGCATACTGCTGTGCTCTGCTAGGGTTTAGTTATTACTTTTATACTATACTTCCTGGTGTGGTTAAATTATATGGTCTTCTTGATTATAAATAACCAAGGTTACAATTTGTTGACTGCTATAGGTACAACTGCAATTTAAGTAAAGTTCAGTTTATTTTTAGAGGGCAGGACATTCTGCTTAAATAGTATTTTAAAACCAAAGTTCCTTACTATTATATATTATCAAGGACTGTGGAGGTTATTGGAAGTATGCTTTCTAAAAGACTCCAGGTGATTGAGAACCAGGCCCAAATCTACCAGCAGAACTAGTCTGCAGGAAAACTTGGCGGTAAGACCCATATCTAGTTTGCAACCTTCCACGCTATTGTGCAAGTATGGTGCAGATATGGGCAAGCAATAGTCAGGTGGCTCTGACGAAACGCCACCATTTATACCAATCAACTTGTATGTGTCTATTTTCAAAGTTCGTTTAAGGTCACAAGAGTACAACTGAATATATCCAATACTATCATAAGTGAATAAACTACCTATCTTTCTGGCAAAGAATAGATAGAAAGCTTGAAGGTAATATTTATTTGGTGAATTTACACATGACGTCATTTACAAAAGAAAAGATACAGACAGATGCAGCTTTCAGTGCAGTTTCAATATTTTCACAACAGGCAAAGGTCTGTGAGAATTTGGAATGATTGTAAAGAATGGCACATGCTTCAATTTGGTTTTTTTTCAACCCAACCCCAAGGAGATAAAAGGAAGAAGAGTACATGTCAGTATTAACGCAATTACAGCCATGCAAATAAAAACTTTTAAAAAAGCCAAGTCAGAGATGTAGAACATTTCTGTATTTGAGGATTGTTGTAATTCAGAAACAAAATACAGAGCCCTCTGACTTCCCATTGCCCCAGTCAGCTGAAATCATGTTACTTGTCCTACTAAAATCAGCCAGAGGCCTCCTCAATCTTTTCAAAGCCTGATTTTAGAAGGGGAATTATCTCTAGTAATTTCTAAAATGATAGCACTTGTAAACAAAATCTTTTTGATTTTTAACACGATAAAGCACCCTTTTAAAGAGGGTGAAATGCGCCTTTCAACAGTATAAACTACAATTAGACTTAATTTCAACAGACGGCTTGCTTTTATTATATTCAGATTTAAAATAAATCTTTCTGTCCCAGATATCTCAAAATAAGAGATCCCTTATGAAAACAGCCATTTGCTCACTAGAAAAATCTAGCATATGAGAAAAGGATGGTCTATAAACATAATAACTAGAAATATATCTCAAAGTGGTTTCCTAAATAAGCAATACTAGGACTTCATGAAACAAAAATCTGGGGTCACTATCCTGTAGTGAAGGCCTGGACACCAGCCATTAGTCCTTAGAGCTCAAGGTTCAATACAAAAAAGCCCTTTATGTCTATGTGGCATCTTTAAAAACACTGGCTCAAAATTCTTTTAAGCACAGGTGGCCAAAAACGCTAAACTTGTCATTTTCAAAAAAATTCTCTGCTTTAGGTATGAGACTTACAATCATTTTGAACCTTTAGCCATTTTTTGCTTCACTAGAAAATTTAAGATAGGTCAACACTACCACATAACATTTATTCCAACTTTGTTTGGGTTATACACATTTAACAATTCATACTTTCTTAAGAGAACATTAAGTAGTACTTATTTCACAAAATAGTTATGCATAATTATAAACATACTCTGCTTTCATCTTACCTCTTTTTCTGGTCCACTCCTCATCAATAGTCTTCCAGTATCTATCAATCAGAATACTTTGTTCCAGAATAGTTTACTATATGGAAACCAACTGCTATGGCTTTTCAGTTTCTAAAGTCCCACAGAATCAAGAGGCATTTTCCATGCTGATAATGATTTAAAGGGTCTCTTAATTTTACTTAAGTCCACATTTAAGCATTGCATCCTTAAAAAAACTAAAAAGGATTATCTGAATGTAAGAAATGTTTTACAGCACGTACTGTATTAATTTAAAAACCAACATCATGTAAAATACTCATCTATTATACACACATATAAAGCCAAAACATTCCAAATATAACAATTCCCTACCCCCATTAAATAAAACAAAACCAGAAAACCAAAACCAAATCAATAAGTCAAAAGTTTTTATTTGCATGGCCAATTACCCTTTGAGCTCTGCAACTGTATTTTAATACCCCTTTAACAGGTCTAAGCTTTTGTTGCACAGGGAATGAAAGCTGCAGACTGCAAACTTCCTTCAACAGCCACGCCCACAACACTTAAACAGGAAATGGATGTAATGACTGACAACACCACACAGGAATACTCAATTCCACCATTCAGCACTTTCATGACTGTTTATGGTTCAGCTGAAGAGGGAGTAAACTTCTTTTAAAAAGAGGGTCGGTCAGTCTCCTTTCCTCTTGTTTTATAATGTTGGTGGTTTTAACCCGTATTTCTTCGCAACCTCTGTCTGGGCGTGGGCAGCATCGCAGAGGGAATACAGGTGGGCCATCTCCATTTCTGATTTGGCCAGGTTAATGGCTTTGTTGAACATGTCAATGGCTTTCTCCATATTTCCTCTGAAAGAACAAAATTTCAAAAATCCTCAGATTAAGCAATTCACAAGTATCCAATAAAGCTTGAAAATAGTGCAACAAAGTCCAATCACTGTGGTTTTTTTTTTTTTTTTTTGAGGTTAAGAGCAGAATATATTTATTGAGGAAAAGAAAGCTCCTGTCCAAGAGAGGGACAGAGGGGGACCCGAGTGGATTGCCCTGACCATTAAGTTTCAACTATGATTCTAATAAAATGCCTCTGTTTTACTACATCACAGTGCTTAGTACACTGAAAGCACTCAATGAATGTTAACTATTCTTACAAATTCTGAGTTTATACCCTGACTTTTGATTATGCAGTGACACTAGGGAAATTAAAATGGGTTATTTGAAGTCCTAATTCTCTCTGGTTTCTTTTTTCTTTCTTTTTCTTGAGGAACTGGGGATGGAACTCGGGCCCTTGTGCTTGCCAGGGAAGCGCTTATTCTACTGAGCTATCTCCCCGGCCCCTCTCTGGTCTCTAAGGTCTGCATATTTCAGCAGAAACAGGAATTTCAGAGAACACTAATGGCTTCCAGGTGCCCAGCCCTCTGAATTTTGTGTGAGCCTACAGTTCTCTCCACCTAATCTCTCACCATCACATGGTCATCCTTATGGACTTCAATTGCAATCACAAGGTCAATTTCAGTTGCCTGATGTATCTATCATTCCTCCTGCACATAATAGATTATTCACTGACTTTCAGCCTGATTCTGGTCAAACCTTTTTTTTTTCTTCTTCTTCTTCAGTTCTTGGGAACTGAACCCAGGGCCTTGTGCATGAAGGGCAAGTGTCTACCACATCCCTGGCTGAAATCCTTCATTTTCGGTGGTACAGTTCAAATATGTATCATCCTGAAAAATATTTTCCCCTTTTCTTAAGGATCTTAACAGTTCTACTGTCATTCTATGAATAGCCACATGTATATGTGTTTATTTACACCAATCTCACTAGCTTCTTGATGTATACCTTTCACTTCCCAGAACCTACTGTGATGACTGGTGTTTACTGTCTATTTTTGGATAAACAGATGAACATGCTTGGTTTCTTAAGGCAAACATTACCTTGTATCCAAGTATAGCTAGGCTTTATACAGCTACTGAGAATAACTTGACTTAGGTAATTAGTTTTAGCTATTATATATGCATAGTTATATGTAATCCTACAATAAATATTTTAATACCCTACTACACACATATCAGGCTCTAGGAAGTAAGAGGTTCCTCTAGATAACTATATTTGACCTCCTGCTATAATATATGGCAGTATCACAGACATACTCAAGCAAATGAAAACAAACTTTGTCATGAGTTCAAGTTTGGATATTAAGTAAATAACTAATTTATTCCTTCATATTTAACTGTAAGGTAAGATGTACAACAGACTTTTTAATTAAGTTTTTGTGGTACCAGAGATCGAACCCGGGACCTTGCTGGTGCCAGGCAGGCATTTATGCTGCCAAGCTATATTCCAACAGACTTTTTTTTTTTTTTAATTTTTTTACATTTATTTATTTTTATGTGTGTGGGGGGGCAGCTCAGCCCACCAGGGGGCGGGGCTGGCTAGTATGTGGTGCTGGGGGATTGAACCACGGTCTCTGTGCTTTGTTTAGCTTAGCTTGTTCTAAGTAGGTGCTTTAGACCACTGAGCCATCTCACCAGCCCCAACAGACTTCTTAAAGTACAATTAATACATAAAATTCTATCATACCTCTAAGATACTTAATCTTAACCCAGAGCCTACGAATTCCTCAAATGAAATGGAAATTGTTTTTATGTGTACACTATTCTAGGTAATAACAACTTGGCTCAAGAAAGATTTGGAAATATTGCCCTTATACTATTAGAATATTTTTACATATCTGCATAAAGCAATTAAAAATAATTTGGGATTTATATGTAACTGTCAGTAGAGTTCGAGATGATCACAAAGTTGAGTGTAGTGGCACATGCCTGTAATCCCAGCACTTGGGAGGCTGAGGCAGGAGAATCACTCTAAATTTGAAGCCATCTGGGCTACATATGCGATTTGAAGGCCAGTCTGGATTATTACATAGTAATAATCTCAAAAAACCCTACAAAATACCCATCTCCCAAAGAACTACACAATCTTTCCTTCCATCACTCCATCTATCCAATACTCCATCCATCCATCACTCCATCCATCCATCTATCCATTCACGCATCCATCCATCCAACCATCACTCCATCCACTCACCCACCCATCTATCTTTCCTACTTACTCTACAGGAGAGATGGATTCAGAAGACAGAAGATAGAAAATAAAGATAATTCATGTTGGCTCCTGACAAAGAGATTATGGCAAGATCACAGACTCTGGTATCAGTGAAGTATGAAATCAGATCATGTCTTGACTATTGGCTTACTATGTAATTTTGTTAATCTAGTCAATCTGGGCACCAGTTTCTGCATTCTTCTATTGAACTGGGGATCACATGATCCCCATCATTATAAAATGAGGATATAGATCACTGAATCTCTAGAAGGCACCTACATTTCAGTATTTGGCCAAACGCAATTCTCTTTTATTTTTGAGACAGGGTCTCCCCATGTAGTTCAGCCTGACTTTGAACTTGTAGTGATTCTCTTGCCTCAGCCTCCCAACTGCTGGAATTACAAGCATATGCCTTCACGCCATGATGAAAAGTTAGGAGGCTGAGAGATGTTGCAACTTGCCCAGTCACTTGATTGGTTGCTCCTTTACAGCAGATACCTTAGCTATCCTGGCTGTCAACTATTACTGTTCTCCCTGAAAAGCACATTACAGATGATTTTTTTCCCTTGCAATCTGAATAATTTACGTGAAAAAAAGAACATACAAATATTTAAGAAATACCACGTTTCTCTTCCTATGTATAAGTTTTACTTAAATAACTTTTATAAGTCTTTTATTTTATTTATTTTTTTTGCGGAACCGGGGATTGTATTCAGGCCTTTGCACTTGCCAGGGAAGTGCTTATTCCACTGAGTCATCTCCCCGGCCCCTTTTAATTTTTTAAAAAATCTTTTTATTTATTTGGTACAAGGTCTTGCTAAGATGCTTGGACATGTAGTGATCCTCCTGTCTCAGTCTCCCCTGCACTGGGATTACAGGCATGTGCCATTGGGATTAAGGCCGGGTCCATGCACTTGCCAGGTAGGTATTTAAGACAGCCAAGCTATCTCCCCAGCCCCATAAGTCTTTCAATTTTGAAAGAATAACACAATAAGGCAAATCAGTTACACAGTTTTGAGGGAAGTATGCATCTAAAGGCATAATAAACTTTAAAAATTTAATAGGCATTGACAATCACATGTAGTAAGAACAAAAGACACAGATGGAGCTGCCATAAATGTCCTAGGGACAGACTGGAGAAGTTACCTTTGCACTTCAATAGTTCCCATGGTTTCATATGCAAAATCACACTTATTATCGATTTCAATAGCTTTGCTGATAAGCTCCAAACCTCTATCCAAATCTTGCTTCCACTGAAGCTGAAGTAAACTGCAAATACAAAGAGGTAAAGTAGATGTGACCATGGCCCAGTATCAATAGTAATAAGAATATATGATTTTATTTTGTACCCTCAGTAAACTTGTAACTCTCTCCTTATTATGAAAAAGCATGGGGATGCTTTGAGCTGGGGATGGAACCTGGAGTACCATGCAGGCTTGATCACCACAGAAACAAAGAAAGAAAAAAAATGGTGTAGCTGGTCTAGGTCAGCGATGGCGAACCTTTTAGAGACTGAATTGCCCAAGATGCAGCCCCAAATGCTCTTATTTATCACAAAGTGCCAACACCGCCTCTGCATGTGCTGTTATCTGATGCTCAGCTGCAGTGGCGATGCTGTGGTGACCAGGCTCTGTGTGCCCACTGCACCCACGTGCCTTAGGTCACCACCATTGGCCAGGCTCTGCTACTGACATATCCTGTATCCCTTATTCTTATATTCCACTACACAATGACAAGAAAAACGTTATATGTGGTTTCTATTTTCACAGCATGTTCAGAACCGAAAATCCCTTAATCTACAGTAAAAACAATACATATACTAATTTGTATGTAAGAACAAAATAATACCCATAAGCATTAAGGAATTAGTCAATTAAGTTAGGGATACTTCTCTACCATAATCCCATCTCTTCAAAGGTCAAAAGCAATTCATTTTATTACCATGAAGGAAATTTAGTATTACTGGAACAAAGAGAACCACAAAAATACATACCCTTTATGAACATAAGTTGTAGCGTTATCTGGTTCTAAATCAATACATTTATCATACATTTCATCAGCTTTACCAAATTGTTGTTGATCTGTTAATGCCTGTGAGAAGATACTTTGATTAAGGTAACTGGTAACCTAAACAATTAAAAGCATACTGCTTTTACTTATTAAAATTTACTTCATTTGTTACTAAGTTTAAAATAATTAAACTGGTTTTTAAATAAATTATTTAAATAAATTATTTAAACTGGTCTATGAGGGCACTGTTGCAAATATTAAATCTTTTTTTCTGCCAGCAGTTACATGGAATATGATAATCTAGCAAACTGCAGAATATAGGAAATCCTACCCAGTGATAGAAAAATCTCACTTTAGTATCACATTCTTATAAGTATGCTCATGTCACTCATGTATCTTTTAAAAAAATCATTTATTTACTTATTTGGTACAGGGTCGTGCTACGCAGCTCTGACTTGTAGTGATCATCCTGTCTCAACCTCCACAGCGCTGGGATTACAGGCACGAGTCACCCACCATGCCCTGTGTTGGCAGTCAGCTCAGAGTGGCGCTGGTACCACATGTGGTGCCAGAAATTGAACCCGAATCCTTGTACTTGCCAGTCAGGTGCTCAGACTGCTGAGCTATCTCCCCAGCCCCAATAATTTATTATCTTAAGGAAATTACTTTAAGGGAAATAATTCATTTAGAAGGATAACTTAAGATGTATGGACTAATATCAGAATCATTTCTTGGGGCTGGGGATACAGTTCAGTGGCACAGTGCCTGCCTGGCAAGTGCAAGGTCCTGGGTTTGATTTCCAGTACCAAAATAATTATTCCTTAAAATGACTGTTAAAGTTAAAGAAGCTACACTCTGGCTTCTCTTCAGATCATATAACTCTTTCGCCTTTTTAAAAATTAAAGCAGCTATAGTCAACCACGTTTAAGGCAAATTTCATGGTGAAAATAGAAGGCCTGGGGCCAAGGATGTAGCTCAGTAGTGCAACGCCGACCTGGCAAGCACAAGGCCGAGCTCAACTCTTGATACCCCAAAAAATACATACGTAAGTAAATAAAATAAAACAAATTAAAACAGAAGGTCTGGTTCTATGGATACCAGGATTATGCTCAGGGTATAACTGAGAGTTGCTAGAATCTAAGCCCAAGTTTGAGGATTAATAAAAAAAAGTCATATACAGATATACAGTAACTACATAAACATGGAAGCTATAGAATAGTACTTAAACATGTACAGACATATATAAAGTTGTAACTGTAGAAAAGCAGAATTAGAAATTTTAGTGCAAACAGCTGTGAGAATGCAAGTGCTGAGGAGGTAAGCACAAAAGTCAAACACATTTCAAAGGCTGAAAGGTGACAGGAGAACATGCAGACTTATGTAACATTCTGCAGCAAGTTTCATGGCCATTCAGAGGTCCCTGCTGTCTTACATCCTCATAGAAATCTGCACCAGAAAAATCTTTCTGAATCCCAGGACAATGAACAGATGCGACACAAATTAATCTCAGTCTTCTTCAGTAAACCCTCAGCATCCTCCTAAATATTTTTTGTAACTTGCTTAAACTAGCATAAAGCAAACTAAAAAAACAAAATAAGAATGGTTTAGGCGGAGTCTATGGGGAAATTGTTTTTATTTTGTGTGATGTTTATGGGGAAAAAGCCCCAACATTTCTTCTGTAATAAAAATAAGTCAGAAAATATTGAGATGGCTATGGCTTAGATACCACAATTTCTAAATTAAAAATAAAGAGAACTATTATTCAGAGAACATTTATTAAGCTGGTGGTGCACACCTGTAATCCCAGTACTCAGAAGTCTGAGGCAGGAGGATTGTGGTGAATTCAAGACCAGCCTGGGATACAAAATGAGCTCAAGGCCAGCCTGAACTGCATAGTGAGACCCTGTCTCAAAAAGACAAAACAAAACAAAACAAAAAAAGAGAGCATTTATTTGAAGAAATAAAGTATTAACTATGGTTAAGAAGTTAACCATTTTCGAGGTTGGGGAGAGAGCTCAGCAGCCTAAGCACCTGCCTGGCAAGTATACGGACCTGGGTCCAATCCCTGGTACTGCATGCTGTGCCGGCCCCAGGCTGAGCTGGCCACTGAAACCCGGTGTGGTGTTGCATGCCTATAATCACAGCTCTGGGAAGGCTATTACTACGAGTCCAACCTGTGTAGCAAGATCTTGTACCAAATAAACATTTTTTTAAAAAGTTAACCATTTTCAATGCAACAAATGATTTTAAATTCAGAAGTATGTTTTCATGAATTTCAGGCCACAATAAAAGTTTAAATTATTTAAATTCTACTTTCTATAATTTCAATCCTAAGTGAGGAAAACTCCAAGAACTTCAGAGAAAACAAGAAAATTTAAATAGTTATATATTAAAAGGATGGCAATCAAAAGGAAAGAAACCTTTTCATGGATATATTCTCTACCAACTATGCACAGCATATATTTTTCTAAGGTGATTACATTTGTCACAAATCCAATCCAAATGTAAAGAGAAGAAAAATGCTTGCTTCCCTTCATTGTGAGTTTAAGGCTATGGTTTCCTAGTCATCAACACAGGAGGTTCTCCTAATGTGATCTGTGATCAAGGACTATCCTAGGGGCCAAGAGAAGCAGGGCAAGAAGAAAGCCATTTGCTTCCACCCCAGTTGGAACCAGGATAGCACTACTTTCTGATTTCCACACTGAGCTTCAGCATACAACACAGTTCTTCAAACAACTTGCAAAGTCAGCTACCTGGGCATATAGTGCATAGCCTTCCGCGCATCTTGGAAATTTCTTTATGACTTCTTCAAAACCTTTCATTGCTGCTTGAATTTGTGAAGAATTGTTTCCTGTATATGCCTGGCGATACTATTTAAAAAATTAAAAAGGGTTGTCAAATCAAGAAATTAAAAAACTTCTAGAGTATTAACATTATAAAAGACATACAAAATTACATAAATCTTATATGGTGCATTCAAAAGAATTCCAAGAAAACAGGACCACATAACCAGTTTGTAATTTCAAAGTACATAATATTCTACGTGTGTCCAGCCTACAAGGTACATGCAGCCTGGACGGCGAACAATGTGGATCCAAAAGATCGTAACTTTTAACATTATGTGAGGTTTTTAGTAGTACTTTTCATGATTTGACTGTGCTGCTTTCAAGGGTGGAATGAACAGGCAATCACTGAATGCAGCGCAGGTGCCTCTGAGACTTGTCTCCTGCAGCTACCGCATAGTTAGCTGAACTGAAACCTAAGGGCAGCAGATGTTGGAAGGGCTTCTGCAACTGGGCTGGTGAAATGCAGCAACTCACTGTTCATGGACTTTCAACCTACCTACAAGTGAGTGCACCTGTGAAGACAGGTGTTTACTGTCATTAAGCAGACATGCAAATGTTATATTTATGCATCTTGGGCTTGGGCTACTTCATAAAATAGCCAGTTAAAATACGAGGAAGGAAAGCAGAAATGATCAAAGCAGCTCGGATGCATTATGTATGTGTAGTAACTCCCTGCGATGCGGGGATCATCATGTACTGCAAATGTGCACTAAAAAGAAACACCACACACACACATGCAAGTTAAAGCAGTTTTTAGCAGCTGTGGTGCAGAAAGTACAGCTTTTTGCTTGTGGTATTACTACATATAGCACTAATATTAAAATGTTTTTATAATTATGAAGTTTTGTTACACATAGCAAGTATCTTACGTATTTATTTTTTTGATACAGGGTCTAACAGTTCAGACTCACAATGATCCTCCTGCCTCAGCCTCCCTTATGCTGGGATTAAAGGCATGCACCATCACACACAGCATGCAGTACCAGGGATCAAACTCTGGACCTTGTACTTGCTAGGTAGGTGCTTAGAATGCCAAGCTATCTCCCCAGCCCCTATCTTATATGTGGCCCAAGACAATTCCTCTTCACTGAATGTGGCTCATCAGGCAAGCCAAAATATTAGAAACCAATGCTGTGTGACTTTCTGAAAAGTTAACTTTGCATATAAGGAAGGGAATTTCTACAATAAAAACTTTAATCATTTTTTTCAAGTATGTTAGAATTTAAAAGGTTTTTTTTTTGTGGGGGGTAGTACTGGGAATCAAACCAAGAAATGCTCAATAACTAAACCATATCACCAGCCCTTTTTAATTTTTAATTTTCAGGCAGGGTTTTGTCAAGTTGGCTTTGAACTTGTGATCCTGCCTTAGCTTCCTCAGTAGAAAAGGAAAATGGGAACTTTTTTAGGAATCTATGTAAATAGGGAAACTGAAGTACTTAGTTTTACTTGAAATGAACTTACTTTATTTTTTTTGCTTTGTGTTTTTGAGTAACAATTCTATAAAGAAGAGATGAAAGAACTGCCATTAATTAACATACATCCTAACGTGTTTTCCTCCCTGTGGTCATGTTTTTGGGGAAAAACATGACGTAGACCATAGCATTCATCTTTGTTGACACTGGGAAATAAAATGTTTAGAAATCGCAAAATAAAGAAATACCCACCAATGCAAAACATTTCTGAGCTTGTGCAAGAGCAGACTCGGGCCTTAATCTAATACATTCATCAAAATCTGTCACTGCTTCTTCAACTTGGTCAAGCAGTATTTTCAGCTAAGAAAAAATAAAAATCAAATTAATAAATGTAATTCTTTTAATTTTTTAAACCTTACTGAGATAGCTTTAATGAATAAATATAGTTGTTTTGTAATTCTCAATATTCTTGGACAGTAACAATACATTGTATATAATAAATGTAATTCAAAATAAATTCATCAGGTATGCACAGTTTCTTCTGTTACAGCAAATGATCAGTATAATCAGTAGTAATTATTCAATATAGAAAAAATGAACTAGAAAATCTTATAATTTTAAAGAAAACATTCTGGAATGTGAAACGTGTTCATTTCTTTAAGAAGAGCAATGTAAACCATGTAAAATGTTTTTCTGTAATTTTTATTATTATTTTTAGATGTGGTTACTACTGTACTTATTTTTCTACAGCTAATCTTCCTATAGCTTCAACAAATTTGCTTTAAAGTGAAGCACGAGGTTAGAGCTGGATCACTTGGCCCTTTCTCTTCTTGCCTCCTCCCAGTTCAAAGTGCTCGCATCTCTTCATGGCCAGCGTTCTCTTCGATCTGCAGCTGGGCTCCACACACTGAAGCCTCAGCACAATCTTCTTTGTCGTTTAGCTTTCTTTCGGAAGATGGGTTTCATGTGCCCACCATAGCCACTCTGTTTCCGATTGTAGCGCCTCTTTCCTTGGGCATACAGGGAAACCTTGTCCTTCTTGTATTGGGTCACTTTGTGAGGCTGATGCTTGCCACACTTCTCACAGAATGTCCTTTAGGTACACTGACCACCTTGGTGGTAGAGCTGTCTATGCGATGAAAATGAGAAGCCCAGCAACCTAACTTGTCGCCTCATGCCACTCGTGTCTCACAGGAAAGGCATTGCTATTATTATTATTGTTCTGGCAGAACCAGGGATCGAACCTAGGCCCTTGCGCTTACCAGGGAAGCGCTCACTCCACTGAGCCATCTCTCCAGCCCCTACTTTTTCATTATTAAGGAAATTAAGCATTACTGTACTACTTAATTTCACAGTAGGTCTGACAAAAACAACTAGAACTTTCAAATTAATCTGTTTGTAGACAGAGTCTAGTTATGTAGTTCAGGCTGCATCAAATTAACTTTAGACACTACCAATAAAGATGAAATGTCAAGATTTTGAGAGGTGGGCTGGGGAGATGGCTCAGCAGAATAAGCGCTTGCCTGGCAAGTGTGAGGCCTTGAGTTCAATCCCCGGTTCCGAAAAAAAAAATTAAAAAAAAAAGATTTTGAGAGGTTATCTCAGCATTTACCCCCTTTAGAAACACTAGTAGGTAAAATTCTCTATTAGAAAGAATTTCAGCTTCACTGATATACAGATAGCTCCTATTTTTTCCTATGTTGCAATCTAAAAACCATGTTAAGCAAATTACAGTTACATTTTTTCCATGTGATGCTATTACTGGGAAATTTTCATTACATATTTTTCTTACAAAAAGCCAAATATGCCCATTATGAAACTCATTTAGCAGTCCCCCTCCCCAACCCCCTTTTGGTACTAATTGGAATCAGGCTAGGATTTCTTCACAGGAAGAAGTCCAGCCTGGTAGTATGGCACACGCCTCTAATACTAGCACTCAAGAGGCTGACTTAGGAGGACTGTCACCAGTTTGAGGCCAAGATACACTACATAGCAAGACTTTGTCTCAAGAACAATCACCACCACCAAACAACCCAAATATACGAAGAAAAGAATCCACTGATTCTGGCATAAACCTAAAATGCTAGCAAGCAGCAGTTTTTTGCTTTCCTTTTCCACAAATACCAAAATTATGAAAACAAATGTTTAAGACAGAACTAAAAGGCTAATCCACACTATAAACAATATCTAAAATGATGTAAGAAAACTTGAAATTATCAAAAATGGGTATCATGGGCTGGGGAGATGGCTCAGTAGAATGAGTGCTTGCCTGGCAGGCGCAAGGGCCTGAGTTCAATCCCGGTTCCACAAAAAAAAAAAAAAAAAAAAGGGTATCAGATAGCCCAATCTGTACATCAGAACTCTAGATATAAAGCTGGCTTACCTGTCCTCGGTGGTGATAAACATCTGCATTCTGAGGGTCAATGTCAGCAGCCATGTTAAAATCCTGGGTAGACAGCAGAGGTTGCTGCTGCTGCATGTACATGCTGCCTCTTTTGATGAGGGCATTTGCTCGAAGCTACATCCCCAAAGGAGAAAGGATCCAGCATTACTGTTTTTGAACAAACTAGTATCATTACATGCTGTGAACCTCATCTTTTAGATTGCTGAGCCATCACCAGCCTAAAGCTCATCTTTCAAATCACCTGTTTCTCACTGGTTCACTGTGCACTGATCATCACTAACTCTAGAACACTTTTCCTATCCCTCTGAACCCATACACATTAGTAGCTACTTCCCATTCCCTCAACCATGGAAACCACCAATCTGCTTTTCTTTTCTACTGATTTGTACAACTTGGGATTACATACAGAACACAGCCTTTTTACCTGGATTCTTTCATTATATATTTTCCAAAGTTCACCTGCATTGTGGCATGTATTAATACCACATTTTTTATGTCTAAATGATATTCCATTTTATAAATACACTTATTGGCTGATGGACATTTGGGTTTCTACATTTTGGCTATCATGAATAATGCTGCTATGGACATTAATGTACAAGTATTTGTGTTAACATATGTATCAGCACTGTTGGGTACATACCTAAGAATGGAATTGTTGGATTACAAGGTAAATGTTATGTTTAACTTTTTGAGGAACTGTTGGTATTACTTCCAAAGAAGTTTTAACATTTTACATTTCTACCAGTAATACGGGGGAGGTGGTTCCCTTTTTCCATGTCCTTGCCAATACTTGTTATTGTTGATCTTTTTAAAGTTGTATCTCACTGTGAGTTCCTTTACAATTTCCTAATGGCTAATGATGTTAAACATTAATTTCATATCATTATTAATCATTTGTATATATTCTTCGGAATGTCTATTCAGATCCTATGCCAATTTTAAAATTAAGTGGTCTTTTTACTGTTGAATTCTAATTGCAGTTTGCTTTGTATTCCAAGCTTTTTCTCTAATTGATGAATGAATATTTGGTCCCATTCTGTGGAAGGTGTTTTTCCTCAATGGTGTCCTTGAGAGCATAAACATTTTATAATAAAAGTTATTTATTTATTTGGTACAGAGTCTTGCTACACAGCTCAGACTCATAGTGATCCTCCTGTCTCAGCCTCCCCAGGACTGGGATTACAGGCACGTGCCTCTTCGCCCAGTTTCAGTGGCCGGCACGGTGTGCCCAGGGTCCTGGGGCTGGCATGGCATGCAGTACTGGGTAGGGAACCCAAGTCCTTGTGCTTGCCAGGCAGGCACTTAGACCCTGAGCTATCTTCCCAGCCTGAGAGTCCAACTTACATTCTTTTGGAGAGGGCACTTATGCTTTTGGTGCTTATCTCAGAAACTCCTGCCTAATACAGGGCAATAAATATTTACTCCTATGTTCTATTCTATGGGTTTTATACATTTTGATCTCCAATCCATTTTGAGTTAACTTTTATACTTGTCATAGACATCATTAACTTCTAGCGGGGTGTGGTAGCACATGTCTATAACTCTAGTACTTTGGGAAATAGGACTACAAGTCTGAGCCAATCCCAGGCAACTTAAAACCTTGTCTCACAAAGTAAAACATTTTAAAAATGGGGCTTGGGATGTAGCAAAAAGCAAAGGTCCTGGGTTCCATCTGGGGATGGGAGTGGGCACAGTCCTGATCAAAAAACTTTTCAAATTTTGTTCAAAGCAGTATCACCATACTCTACCAAAAATGATACACATTACTTTAGGAAAAGAAAAACAGTATGATGGTTTTTCAACCAATAGTGTTACTCTCATATGGGGACCCTAGAGGACGCCATCTATCACAGCCAAAACCCAGGCCACTGTTGGCCTCTAGAGAAGAAACAGAAAATGCATGTGTTGCAATCTCCATGGCCAAGACTACCCAAGCAGCAGCTGCTGTGCTAACAAGATTCCTGGAAGCTTGTGGCCACCACTCTCAGCACCTCCTGCAACTGTAGAGGCTAAAGGGAACTTGTGTGAACCTCATGATGTCTCAATAAATCTAGTGCGAAAACAATTACAAAAATTTTTATTTTCTCCAAAACAAAATTAAGAAACAAAACAAAGTTTTTATTTTCTTGAAATGTGTATACATTTTTTTGGCAGACTTGGTGTGTATATATATCAAAACTAATTATACCTGTCAATATAAATATATCTATATATAAATAAATCATGTAATTCAACAGATCACTTCAAATCTTATTTATGAAAATCATTACACACACATTAAAAACACTCGTAAATGAAAATACAATTGTAAAAACTTTTGTGTATTTATAAATGTATTTTTAGAGCATATTTTTTTCTTCATGTAATAAAAATCTTTCCAAATATATTGCTAATGTGTTTGTTCTTTGTAAACATATTTTAAAGCCTGGAACTACTTTTTGCATGTTACACACTGCATTAGTACCCTTAGTACAATCCAAGGAGTCCAATTCACTAGACAGTGGCTACAAGTGACGCTGAATCTTCTAGCTGCTGCAGAAAAATACATTAACTGCTTGGCTGCAGGTAAGTATTAACATCTACATTTCAGATTCATGGCACCAATGTACTCATCATTAGATTTCTTCCAAAACAAAAACAGCCTTTTTGGAGAATGGCAAATAAAATGCTAAAATATCTGACAAAGGACCTAAAAATCATTCCTACTTATTAACTTTTTCACATGCACAAACATTTCAAAATGTACCTTCACATTAGCTTCTTTCAAACTGATGACCTTATCTAAATCAGGCTTGGCAGCATTGGCATTGCCAATGAGTAAGTAGAAGGTGGCTCGCAGTAACAATGCTTCTGCCATGTATTTTCCTTGAGCTTCTATTTCTTTTGAGCATTCACTTATGATTTTATCATAGTTTTCTTCTTCCATGTACTGTTTGGCTTTTAAATATCCTGAACTGAAAGTGAAAACAATAGGAAATTATTTACTAAGAAAAAAATCAAATGCTAACACTTGTTACATTTAGCATGCCCAAGTTAAACACTTGTCCACTTCCCTTTAACAAGTTAATCAGCCAGTATGGAACTAGTTAGGAAAAAGAGGTTAAAAAACACTTAGGATTTCTAAAGAAGAATGGGATTTTCTTGAACCCACAGAGGAAGAGTTTTAAAAGAAAACAGAATCCACGGGAGAAATTGGTTAGTACCTTTAATGCCTTGGCTTAGACAAATATGTGAGATCAGCTAGTGAAGGAGACACACTAATTTGCAACATGGGTAAGAATCGTGTCTTATTTCCTTTCCTATCTGTAGCACATTGATAACGCTTAGTAAATGTTAAGCGCTAACAGAGGAACAAAGGAATAAAAAACAAGTAAGTTCAGTGCAATGTAAGCCAAAGCAAGAGGTGTGATCAGAACGGTGCTTTAAATAAAGACTGTTTTGTACAGAATTGACTAAGTAGAGTATGACTGAAGATAGGGAAATACATATGAGCTCTCCACACATTTTTTTTCACCTCAACGGACTAGAATTCGTAAGTACACTTATCAAAAAACTAAATTTAAAACAAAACTCTTGCATTAAATAGATCTTTAAAAAACATACCTATTTTTAAAAATGCATTCAATACATTATTTAATCTTTTAAGATAATGAGTGTTACTAGAGATGCTCAAAAGGATTTTTAACTAAAAAACGAACAAAACAAAAAACCCCACCACAGAAGAATTTGTACTAGATGACCTTTGAGCCATCTAATGTAGACAGTTCCATGGTATGAAAATGGCACATTTCAGTAGAAACTGTACTCTGAAGTGTGAACTTGCCCTGGCTTGCGCGCAGGGGCAGCAGGAGGTGACCAACAACAGTCCACAGTGTACTCTACATTGCTAAATTTAGATGCTCGAGTAGTAAACATTCTGATGCCTGCATCAGAATTAATGTATTTTTAACCTACATATTTGCAATGATGAATCAGGATGTAATTCAAGGAGCATCTGTGTAAGACACTAATTAAAATACAATTTAGTTGTTATATTCTGTGTAGAGAAACTGGCAAGGGGCTTAGAAGAAAAGCCGTATCAATCAAAATCTTACAACTCTGCACTAAGTATTCCTGTAATTACATTATAATATTCCTTGTTTTGTTCCTCAAGTCACCAGGCTAAGAAAATAGAAAGTATCAAATCACATTGGAAGTAAAAAGTTCCTACCTACTGAGAACACTAATGACTGGCATTAAAAGCATTTCCACATCTCAAACCCAAGGCCAAAGAGTGGCATTTTGGTAGGGAAGCAGTACCTTAAAGAAATTTAAACCTTAACTTCTCTGAAGTACCTCGTAATTGTTAAAATCTTCCCTGCACTAAAATACTTGAATGTGAAGCTACACAGGTAATTTTCTAGTTATTGCCTTCATTCAAATAGTCAAGCAACTGACACAACAGGCATTCTCTTGAGAATAATCACAATGCAGGACTGCAAAAGCAGGTTGAAATTTTGAATACTAGAAGCCTAACAGACACATGCTAGAAAGAGAAGTACTTTTATTACATAATTATAACAATTACAGTATTATTATTAATTTATTTAGACATGCTCTCACTATGTAGTGCAGGCTGGCCTTAAACTTGCTTATGTAGCCCATGCTGGCTTTGAACTCATGGCTATCATTCTGCCTCAGCCTCCTGGGTGTGGGGATTATAGGTGTGCAATACCACACCAGGCAACAATTAAGAGTATTATCTTTTATTTTCTTTTACTTATTTCTATCTGGAGATAAGGTTTTTTTCTGGGACTTTGAATCCACTGTGGCTCTAGGGGAGGTTCATGGCAGCAGCAAAAAACAGAAACAGGGCCAGCCAAATAGCTCAGCAGATTAAAGCACCTGCAAGCAGGCTCAGGGGGGTGCTGGGGAGATAGCTCAGTGGAATAAGCACTTCTCTGGCAAGTACAAGGTCCTGAGTTCAATCCCCGGTTCTGGCTCAGGGGCTGGGGGTTCGATCCCCCGGCCTGCCAAGCTGGCCCCAACCCCAGGGAACACTGAGATGGCCATTGAGACTGGGTGTGGTGGTACACACCTGTAATCCCAGCTCTTGGGAGGCTATAAACAGGTGGATCACTACAAGTCCAATCTAGTAGTGAGACCCTGAGCACCCTGTAGACCCTTCCCTAAAAATACTTAAAAACAAAGCAAAACAAAACAAAAAAAAACAAAAACCCAAAACCAAACAAAACCAACAAACATCAACAAAACCAAACAAAAAAAAACCTCCAGGAGATACCATGCCTGAAATACTTACTTTTCTTTTACTTCTAGAGCCTCTCCTTCTTTGTCTTTATCTTCATCGGATTTTTCTCCTTTAAGCATGGGCTGAGAAATGATATCGTCAGTGAAAGAACTGAAGTAAGATTTGATAAACTGTGGAGATGGCATCAAAGGTTCACGATTCTGAAATTCAATATTTATCAAAATGAAAAAAACAATCTCAGAAGCAGATATGTTAAAGAACATTAATAATAATTGTTGTAAAAACAGGATTCTCATTTTCAAATAACTGAAGAATGTTAAGCTCTAACCCACAGGACAAAAGAGGAGGGAATGGCCAGCTCCAGCTGCTTAAAATAGTGCTTACACAGATGGTAAAAAAGTTACGTCCATTTGCCATAGGCTTACATCTGAAGATCTGCATCATAGGTAGTGCCATTAAAGGTCACACCTTAATCGTATTTCCTGATTTAATACCCTCTTTTTGCTACGGCTACCTCCTTCATAATTACAGGAGTAACGCCTCCCTGGTGGTCTAGTGGTTAGGATTCGGCGCTCTCATAATTACAGTTCTTTCTCTTTGTAATGGAAGACAGTCAAATTTTGGATCCTTAACCCAGAAAATTCACTATGCATGGTGTCTACTTTAAAATAAAAAATAAAATACTATGCAGTAGGTGGAACTGAACCTAGGATCTTTGCACTGAGCTACATGGCCACCCCCTATACACTTTTTTATTCAAAACAATCTTACTGAATTGCTCAGGCTGAGGGTGAATTTATAATTCTCCTACCTCAGTCTCTTAGACAGCTGGAATTTTACTATGCTTGACTGAAAATAGGGTATTTAAAATGTCTTGTTATACCATTATTATTTAATGTCTTGTTATGTGTAGGATGAAAAAACCTTTAGATATAAATGGCCTAATGGACAGCAGAACAGAAGAAAACTTAAAAGATAAAAATCTAAGGGCAAACCCAATGCTATTATTTCTTTCTTTTTTTTTTTTTTTTTTTCCAGAACTGGGGATTGAACTCAGGCCCTTGCGCTTGCCAGGGAAGCGCTTATTCCACTGAGCCATCTCCCTGGCAAATCTTTTTTTTTTTTTTTTCCAATGCTATTATTTCAATCTGTCCTCCAAAGCTCACATGTTGGAAACTAAATCTGAAATGCTAAAATACTAGGAGGTGGGGCTTAATGTGATGTGATTAGGTCATGAGGGATCTATTTTCATGAATGGATTAATAGCATTACCCAAGAGTGGGTCAGTATCAAATCAAGACAATGGATCCATTGTGAAAATCAACTCTCTTGCCTTTCTGCCATGGGATTACACAGCATGAAGGCTTTCCCAGGTATTACTACTTGACATTAGACCTTCTGGCTACCAGAACTGTAAGAAACAAATTTCTTCTTTAATGTCATTTAAGGGGAAAAGCTTGAAGAGAAATTTAAACAGCATTTATATGAAACTGGGTAAATCATGGGAATCTTTTCACTTCCCATTTTAGTTTAGAAATAAAGCCCCTGTCTCCCCATCTTCCACATGGGGTTATAAATGTACAGTATAAAGTGCTATTTTAATTAATGGGCTTATGTAACAAATGAAAAGATCACATTCTAGGTCTGCCACTTATTCAATGTGATACTGTAAAAACTATGAATGTTTCGATTAAGAAAAATTACTGATAAAAGACAACTGCCATTCGAGCCCTCAAAATACTTCTCTTTATTGGGAACATATTTATCCAGGACAGGGAGATAGCTTGGCAGTCTAAGCACCTGCCTGCCAAGTGTGAGAACCTGGGTTCGATTCCTGGTACCACATGCTATGCTGGCCCTGCACTAAGCCAGCCACCAAAACTGGGTGTGGTGGCACATGCCTATAATGCCAGTGTTGGGGAGGCTGAGACAGGAGGATCACTATGAGTCTGAGCTGAATCATGAGACCCTGTGCCAAATAAATATATAAAAGATTTTTCTTTTTTAAAGGGGGAGCTCAGTTGCATAAGTGCCAGTGTGGCAAGTGCAAGACCTGAGTTCAACCCCTGGTAATCCCCCCCAAAAAAAAGAAAGAAAAAAGAACACGTTTATCCAACTGTTTTTGCACTTTCTACAGCAGTTCAGAAAGTCTTTTCTCATAGTGTCTGATTTTGTCCTTATAGCTATTTTAACTTGGGGGGAAAAAAGCCATGAGTCATATAGGGCCAGATCTGTTGAACAGGTAAAGATATGCTATACATTTTTGACAGAAATTGCCATAAACACTTGATCAGTGGGTTATGTGGTCATAAACTATGATGTTTGAATGTAAACATTCATTATGTTGAAAGGCACACTGCTATTGATGCCCCTCATAATACTCAAAATACTTATTCTCACTTCAAACACATTTATGTCTTTCTTGGTAATGTCTACTATAAGTTTAAAAATTGTTTGTTTTTTAAATTTTTTATTTTTATTTATTTATTTATTTTGCATGTGTGTGGCCAGTTCAGCCCACCAGGGGGCAGGGCTGGCTGGCATGTGGTGCTGGGGGATTGAACCGCGGTCCCTGTGCTTTGCTAAGCTTGTTCTTAATAGGTGCTTTAGACCACTGAGCCATCTCACCAGCCCCTAAAAATTGTTTTTTAAACAGTCACTGTATCTTTTGATCACAACCTTGTATGTAACATGTCATTAAACCTCTAATCTCAGTTTTCTCATCCCTAAAGTATTAGTTGAAGCACTTGATTTATGTTACCTAGGTTCTTTAAAGACTCAATCTGTTAGACTAATATAGTATTTTGCAAAGTGTTTTTGGAGGAACGTTAGTTTTACAAGATGCTCAAGTAGCTAACGTTCCATGGTTCAAAGAGACTCTGAGCTACTACTGCTATATTCCTCTTGAACAATGGTGGCAAACGTATGGTGCATATGTAAGACAAAATATGCTAATGTATAAGTTGCTTTTTGAAACTAAAAACCTCAGTATTCGGGGTTTTTTGGCGAAACTGGGGATTGAACTCAGGCCCTTATGCTTGCCAGGCAAGCGCTTATTCTACTGAGCCATCTCCCCGGCCTCTAATATTTGGGTTTACTCTGTGATAAATAAATGTATTTTGGTTTGCAGTTTGGGCACATGATCTTTGAAAGATTAGCTATCACTGCTCGCAGAGATTCACAGACCACCCGGCATATTAAATTCCTATACTAGAAAAGGGTGTTTTAATGATTTAACTCTGTTTACAGTCACAGATGGGAACTTAAGTATATATACTTATTAAAATCCCTTACGAGAAAAGCAATTCATTTGTAAAGAAAAAAACAACTGCCTTGGTATGACTGCTATTTAGCCGTGAGTCTTCAGTGATGAAGACAGTGGCATTCTCTCAGTATTATATGTATATCTCCCACGGGACATTGGCCATGTACAGAGTAACAGCCTCTCTCGCTAAATTTTAATTCTATATAGAAAGGAACATGTTTTTGTACCAGCTCCTCTCTGTGAAGTTTTATGTAACAATAGTTTGTTAAATTTAAATTATCCACTACTAAAACCTTAAAACAAATATCCATTTAAAAATGTAAGTTTAAAACTTGTGATACAGGAGTTGGAAAATATTTTCCTGTAAAAGGCCAGGTAATAAATAATTTAGTCTTTTTTTGGGATACTATCACTGTATGCTGTGACAATCACTTAGCTCTACTGTAGGTTAAACACAGCCAACAACAGTATGTTTGAGGTCAAATTTTATTTAGGAAAACAGCTGCCAGACTGGATTTGGCCTATCAGTGAAGCAATCCTTAACCTAGATAAATTTCAGACTCATCCAAGTATAGTAATGGATACAGCCTACATAGTTACTGAAAAAGAAAATGCCACAAAAGCCCAAGGTTATAGCAAAAAGAAATACAACTCCATTCTAAATTTTAGTTGTTACCATAACCATTATTCCCAAGTTCAAGCAGTACACTCACAATTCAGATTAATTTACCTTATACTTTTCTTTGGCTTTCTCTTTTCCAAGAAGTTTAAGAACTTTATCAGCTAACAGCATGCTCTGTTGATTTTGGAACCCTTCCAATATACACACAGCAGTGACATCTAGAAATGGAAAAATAAACATGAAATTATTGTAGAGACTATTAACAGTATCAAACAGGTATAAGGTAAGACAGGAAGTCATTAAATTCATAGCCTGATGAGACTATGAAGCTTGAATAAAACTGCTTTTCAATGATTCAAGTCTCTCCCCTTCTGAGATTAATTTCCTTCACCCTATGCAATGAAAAGGTTTGTGCTATATAATTTCTGACACTGCTCACTGCACATTTTATAGATAGAAAATAAACCAGGCAATATAGGAATCTTCTTCTGGCCATCCATTTTCATTCAGTTATGCCACCCCACAACTTAAGTGATTTGAAATTTAAGATAGGTTTGGGGCCAGGGAGATGGCTCAGTGGAATAAGCGCTTCCCTGGCAAGCGCAAGGGTCTGAGTGCAATCCCCGGTTCCGCAAAAAAAAAAAAAAAAAAAAATTTAAAATAGGCTTAACTTCTAAATTTTTTTTCTTCACTCAAAATAGCCAATCACCGGGGCCAGGGAGATGGCTCAGTGGAATAAGCACTTCCCTGGCAAGTGCAAGGGTCTGAGTTCAATCCCCGGTTCCGCAAAACAAAACAAAAACAAAAACAAAATAGCCAATCACCGTTCCTTCTCTTTTTGAACTCAGTTTCTCACAATTTCACATCCTACACCTCCAAACAAGTCAATCCAGAGCCAATGTCTTTTTCTCTTCCCATTTGTCTCTAAAATCCCAATCAACTTCCTTCCTCTTTGCCAAATACTATCTTTTAGTAACTTCAAGGTCTAGCCCAAATTTAGGATTGCCTTTTCTAAAATAATTCTCCTTTCACCAACAACCAAATTATGTGACAACACAAAACTTCAAATTTTGCTAAAACATTCTCTAAAGCATCATGATCACTTGATAATCCAGGATTTTTTCAAAGGTGTTAACACACACACACACACACACACAAACTCGAGTGGGGTAGTGCTAGAGATTGAACCCAGAGCCTTATTTGAGCTTTTTTCTTTTAAAAAGTGGTTATTTTGTGATGCAGGTATAGCTCAATGATAGAAGCATTCACAAGGCCCTGGCTTAGATCTCCAGTAACAGAAAAAGTTATTTAAATACCAAGTGGGAAGCATTTTATCTTGGGGTGCAGGGGACCACTGATTTTATCTTCACATCATCTAGAAAAACATACTTTAAGAGCCAATGGACTATACTCTAATTGCAGTTTTGGAGAAAGACACAGTCAATTAGAGGATGCCAAACATAGCATCTACTGAGAATGACAAATTCACTTTGATGTTTTGTACCGACTGCATAATTTGCAATCCGGTATAAAAATGAAGTTTGAAATATTAAGGGCAAAAGCAACTTTTTAAAACTTCATCCTAAAATTATTTTTCTTAAAATATATGTTAGCTTAAGTAAACACACTACCATTTGCTAAAGCCTCTTTTTCTTATTCCCTTATTCAAGGAATTATACTAAAGCTAATTGCCATGTTTAAAATATGTGACATATAAATTTCAAATGTCAGTATTTGAACAGTATCACCTGAAACTAGAAAACCAAGTCTCAGTTGGGAAAAAGTTCAACTTTTAAAGACAAATAATTTCTGTATTCACAGGCAGAATTTCATATAAATTTATGATCATAAAGCCTCTATGAATTTTCATCTACAAACACAAAAATACCCTCACCTTCTAAACATTCCTTCTTATTGTCTAGCTTCTCGTGGGCTTTTGCACGCCTAAAGAGAGCTTTCACATATTTGGGATTAAGTTCAACAGCCTTTGTACAATCTTGGGCCACCTCTTTCCATTTTTGCTGTAATTGAAAAGTATTTCAAAAGTCACAATAAAAATACTGTTCAATACAAATCAGTTTTCCAAACTTAACAGGCCAAGTATTAAAAGTCCCACAACAGAAAATGTATCGCAAATACAGTTAATACTTATAATATGTGTACAAAAAACCTCACATAAGTATCTTTAAGGAAGACAAGTAACTAGATTTTTAAAAATAAGCAATGAGGGCCTAGGGATATACCTCAGTCGCACAAGCGCCTACCTGCCAAGTGCAAGCTCCTGAGTTCAATTCCTGATACTTTGGCCACCTTTCTACATCCAAAACTAGAGTTCTGTGCTCATATCCTTTCTTTGCTCCTGTTAAAACTGAGGAAACACTTATCTTCAAAGGTCAACTTTCCACTGGTGGGCTACATTTCGTGACCACTCTGTCCATGGATCTCACTCTTTCAGCTCTCTTCTCTGCAGCTTATCTTTTGCGCCATTCCCACAAACATAAAAACACTTGCTCTTGTATATTCAATGTCATTATTAGGGGTATGGGGGGTGCTGAGAACTGTACCCACGGCCTTGTGCATGCAAAGCAAGAGTTCTACCACTGAGCCACATCTCCTGCTCTATTCCATGCTTTAAAACCTCTCCTTTACTCTGTAACTCCCTAGAACTATTCCACTTGTCAGCAGCTCTTTATTAATGAATCCTCTAGATTTGCACCTTTGTCTCACTTCCACATACTTTACTGTCCTCAATTTCCTTTGCCAATTTCTCTCTCATTACTTGATTTCTACATGATGAAATCCTCAAGCTCTCATCTCTTATTTCTCCCTAGGTAACTACATACAGTGCTTTTGTATACCAACTGAAATTACAGATGATTCCGAAATTTATCTGAAGCATAAGACTTATTTTCCTAAAAGACATTCCTCAACATAACTTGTCTACTTACTCTCCATCTTCTGGCAGTAAAATCTTTCATGCCTTTAGCTTTCACATCCAATGCAACAAGTTTTACTGGTTTTTACTTTGTCTTTATGTCTTATTCAGGTTAGCTCCTATCCTTATTTTTTCTGTCTCCACTTTTCAATATATTTTCAGCAGAACAATATAATAATCTTAGACACTATTTTTGCCTGCTTAAAACTCTTCAGCATTTCTATTATACTTAGAACAATCAAAACTCTATTACTCCCTAAAAGGACTTTCTTGAACTGGTCTTTATCTATTCTTTCCAGCGCATCTTTCTCCTATTCCTACTTGAACATGTGAAACTCTTTCTTCTGTCAGGAGTAACCCAGTATATGTTTCTTCCCTAATACTCTCTTCTCTGCTGTTTTGTCAGTCACTCCACTATATAAACATACAGAGGAAGCTCGACACAGGGTCTTTAAAAAGTGAAACAGGTTGATATATGTTGATATGAAAACCTGTACAAAGCACAGTGGCAACTCAAAAAATGTATCACCAACACTATTCAAAAGGAAATCATCTCTGTCTTTCCCCTCCTAACTATGAAAGCTACATAAAAAAAGCTGGAGAACAGTTTTAAATGGTTGAGGAGCTACTACAAAACTTCAGCTTCTATACTATTTAATTTTATAAAAGTTGAATATTTATAAATGGGGTATATTTTAACCAGTAAAACTAACGTTTGTTCTTAAATTTTTGTAAGGAAATAAAAACAAAAATCTTATTAATTTCAAAATGTAAAAAAATGCATTAGATTTAAGTAGCATTAACTCAAACTTCAAGCAGAGAAACAAAAGGAAAAGAGAAAACAACCCAGCATACATACCAACTGTTCAAAGGCAGCAGCTCTATTCTGATAAAATGTAGAAAGGTCAACATTCTTTTCTGTAGGACACAAACTGATAGCTTCTGTATAGCACTGAATAGCCTGCTCATATTTTCCTGCTTTAAAATATTTATTGCCTTTGTTCTTGGCTGCTTGGGCTCTATCAAGAGAGTTCTGAAATGAGAAAAACAATTACCAACAACTAATAAACATTTGACAATAGACTTAGACTACCTTAATTCAGTACTAAACTGAAAAACTAATTTTTGCCAGTTTAATGTGTATAAGACAACAGTTTTTCAGACAAAAATAATTTTACCCATTTCAGAAATATACATTCCTAGTATATAAAAACTGGCTGTCAAAGGTGGAAGATGCTGTGAAACTTTTCAGCAAACAGAACCAGGATTCTACAAAATACAATATATGGAGACTTATGAATAGAAAGGTGTCCTAGGTGAGCAGCAAGACAAGAGGAAGAGTTTTACAAGCTTGGCTGGACAAAGGCTGGCTGCAGGCAACTGCAATGTACCTATCCTTTCCCAAGCCTTTATCCTTTTTAGTTACTTTTTCTTTTTGTGGCACTGGATTGAAAACAGTTTCCGTACATGTTTTCTTTAAATAATTTTATTGAGAAACAAATAGCAATGAGACAGTTTTAAAACCGATTGCTAGCACAGTTTCAATAATTAATACATTGCATATTGTTGTCTTAGTGGTTCACTGTGCAAGATGCAGACATGATATCCTGTCCACAAACACTATTAGAACAAATCTCTATATTCAATGATCCAAGGGAATGCCTACCCTAACTATTCTGAACATAGATACAAAATGGTAGTTCATTTGTATCACCCATTTTTGTTTAATTTTGTCAGAGAAGGGTATTCCATTGTTGTTTAAATACTATAGGTGCCTGAATTCAGCAAAATATTGCAATATAGCCCAGTAGTACATAATAGTAGTGGGTTTTCTGTAAGACTGGCAATGACAAAAGTTGTTGATTTTGCCGGGAAGATGGTTCAGTGGAACAAACGCCTGCCTGGCAAGCGCAAGGGCCTGAGTTAAATCCCTGGTTCCGCCAAAAAAAAAAAAAAAAAAAAAAAAAGACAGAAGTTATACACTGATTTTTGCACTATTCAAAATTAATGAATTTTTGTTTTTATTTTTTAATTTTTTTTCAAACCAAATTGGTAGGACAGTTTCAATAATTAACACATTGCATACATTCTTTCTAGTGGTTAATTGCTCTACAAGACGCGGACGTGATATCCTATTTACAAACACTATTAGAACAAATACCTCTATTCATTAAGAGAATGTAACTATATATCTATCTTAACCACTTTGAATACACAGATACAAAATGGACATTCATCTGTATCCCCTTTTTTTGTTAAGTTCCGTTATTTGAATTTTATAGGTGTGTTAATGCAGCAAAATATTCTAAGAGTCCAATAGTCCATAACAGTATTGGGTCTTCTGCTTCAACGGTAATGTCAGAAATTGTGGACCTGAGTCCCCTGCAGCTCAACATAACAGCATGGCTTTACTTATACTTTGTTTTTATACTTTTCTGCTGGATGGTTAAGACCAAGATAAAGCAGGACCTATGCAACAAGAGCTGTAGCTTTAGGTCTGATAAGGTCAGTGAAATCCCCTTAGGATTTATCCTGAGATCCTGTACCTCAAATTGTAGATCCTTGTCAGTGTCGGCCATGTGGATGAGTCACGGCCAATGCTTGGCCAATGTTAAGCATAAACTATTAATATGTCCAATATCAGTTAAGAAAATATGTTTAGTAATGGCTGGCACAGCACACTTTGCTGATCATCTCACTACCATACTTTTGTCTTAAAAGGTTTGTGATGTGTTCCAGGCTCACATGGCAGACAAAATGGTGGCTGTGACCAAGATGGCTACAGTTATATGAAGCCACTGGAAATATGTCTCCTCCTTTTTTTGATGGTAGAACTCAGGGCCTCACACATGCTAAGCACTTTACCACTAAGTTGCATCCCTGTCCCCACACAGTTTTTTTTTTTTTAATTTTATTTATTTTTAATTTTATTTATTTATTTATTTATTTGTGTGTATAGCCAGCTCAGCCCACCAGGGGGCGGGGCTGGCTGGCATGTGGTGCTGGGGGATTGAACCACGTTCCCTGTGTTTTGCTAAGCTTGTTCTAAGTAGGTGCTTTAGACCACTGAGCCATCTCACCAGCCCCCTACACAGTTTTGATTGTCACAAAATGGGAGAAGGGAGATGTTATGAGCATCAAGAGACCAGGGATGCTACTAACTTTCTACAATACACAGGCCAATCTACCACAATAAAGAATTATGAAATCCAAAATATCAATACTGCGAAGGTATAAACACCTCAGTATTATTTTAGTTTGCATTTTCTTTATTATTAATGAATCTGACAATCTTTCCATGTTTATTGGCTAGCTGGATTTCTTATTCTAAAAGTCACTAATTCATGTTTTGCTTTTTTTCTAAGTTATTTGTCAATATTGCAGAACAGACAGTACACATACTTCAGCATCTTCATTAAGGTTACTCCAAATGTGTCATTCGTCCATACTCCTATCTCTGTCTGCTTTCTGGAAGACCCAACACACATACAAACACACACATATATTTCATCCGGGCAGTGCTTTAGAGGTGGTAGGTTAATACCTACTGAGGATAGCAGTGAAAATGTTAGGGAAAAAAATCTCTGTAGATAAAAGCTGATTATCCAGGCTCCAGCCACTAGCTCCCTGAACTTTGTGGAACATCCTCAAACAAAACTTGGTTACTCTTAGCCAAACCCAACTTTATAAACAAGACTCCATGCATCTCCAACAGGCAAATATTGACAAAATAAGAGCAGCAGCAGCTACTACATTAATTTAAATAATCTGTGAAAGGCCAAGTTGTTTGAAACTGAAGGTACCTGAAGGACCTCTTACAAAAACATGATGAGATGGCAAGTAAGATACATTCTCATACCTACGCTTTTCTCATCTTAATTTATTTTTCTTTCTTGCTTTTCCCCTTTCGCTTGCCTTTTGTTTCTGTTTTATACTAAGGCTACAGCTATAGTTCTTCTTCTTCTTCTTTTTCTTTTTTTTGGAATTGGGGATTGAACTCAGGGCCTTGCGCTTGCCAGGGAAGCACTTATTCCACTGAGCCATCTCCCTGGCCCCTATAGTTCTTTTTAAAAAGTACAGTGTGAAGAAGGATTTGCAGAAACAAAGCATCTAAATTCAGACTATTACACAGACAGTGTAAACTAATGCCAACAAGGAATAGACCTATCTTAAAACTAAGATGAGGGAAAATAAAAGGAACCAAAATAAATACAAAGGAATAGATGAACACAAAACCTTCCATTCACTGAAAGATTTAATCAGCTGCTAAAAACTTTGAAATGTAAGTTAAATAGCAACTGTGAAACATTTTGAGGACATGTTTGGGGACTACAAAAATATGCCTGAACTAAAAGCCTCTAAGACAATATAGCTAACAATCCCTTAGATAGGTGGAGGCCTTGTGGGTGCAACCATCAAGATGAGGGTTGGAAAACTTGCATTTGAGACAATCTTAATCCTCTAACTCCACTAAAAAGAAGAACTCAGATTGGATAGGGCTGTTAACAGAGAAGTACTGAGGATCCATCCCCTTTACCTAAGAGGAAAGTGACAGGTATAACTTGAGAACACACAATCAAAGATTGCTAATGTAAAAGGAAAATCAATCATGAATGAGGTAGATCCAAGTCAATTAGGTCAAAATAATATCTAGGAAAGTAGAATAAGCCAATTAATAACAATAATAACAACAGCAACAAAAATGAGTGGTACAGCTGCTGGAGATTGAACTCAGGGCATTTTGCACAGACAAAACTCATTTTGCCACTAAGCTAGTCACAATTAGAATTTTTTTTTTTTTTTTTTGTGGAACTGGGGATTGAACTCAGACCCTTGCGCTTGCCATGGAAGTGTTTATTCTACTAAGCCATCTCTGCAGCCCCTCACAATTAGAAATCTTTTTTTTAAACTATTCTGAAGAGAGAACAAGGACACAGATTTTTTTTAAACATTTATTTATGTGTGTGTGTGGGGGGGGGGTGGCCAGCTCAGCCCACCAGGGGGCAGGGCTGGCTGGCATGTGGTGCTGGGGGACTGAACCTGTGCTTTGCTTAGTTTAGCTTGTTCTAAGTAGGTGCTTTAGACCACTGAGCCATCTCACCAGCGCCAAGGACACAGATTTTAAACTAAGATGGTAGGAAATTAATAATGGCTAATATATCGCACATTGTTATTTTCAGAGCTACTCAAAAGAGCTGTGTAAAATTGATCAATTAAGTACAAGCATCAAAGAAATAATAGAAATTAGCAGTACAATATCTTAGCAATTTTGTGTGCATACACACACACACACCTTATTTTCCTTTCCTATAATCAGAAATCTTGAAAATGAAATTAACTCAACAGATGGGCTATATTACAGCAGGCACAACCAAGAAGCAAAATAACATATAGATGGCATAAGCAAGAAAGCTACCAGAAGGCAATAATAGTAGTACGGAGGGGTGACAAGTCTAAAGAAAAAGTTAAATGATATGAAGTAGATATTTAGGTTCTTTTATCTACCTAATGCTCTAGGAATAGAAAGGAAGATCTAACCAAATATTAAAAAAATCTCTACAGAAAAAAGTTACATATTTTTAGACACATTATGGTGAAATTTTACAACAAAAACCCTCCAAAGTATTTAGGCAGAAAAAAGGAAAAATATATCACTTACAAAAGTGAAAGAACAAATCTAGCCTAGTATCACCAACATCACATACTAAAAAATAGTGGAGTTATCATTTCAAAGTTCTGTGGACAAGGCTGACCCTGAAATATCCCCAAGCTAGCATTTGAGGATGAACACAAGACTAGTGACATACAATGTTCTTTTCACTAAAAGTTGTAGAGTGGAGGAATATAACAAAATGCAGAAGGTAGTGTAAAGGAATAAACTAAAAAAAGCAAGCAAGTACAGCAGTATTTACTATGTCAATAATATAATAAAATAAGTTAGATCTTCATAAAGACTTTGCCAGGTATGGTGGGGCAAGCCTGTAATCCCAGCACTTGGGAGGTTGAGGTAGGAGGATTACCATGAGTTTGAAG